GAGTAGGCGTGACATCAAGACCAACTGCTTAGTGTGCAGCCAGGGCAAACAGTGCTCAGAGAGGTTGAATCACGTGCCCAGCACCACACAGCAGGCCCCCCTGTAGAAGCGGAGCTGGGATCTGGACTTGGGCGATCTGGCTCCGGAGCCCACACGTAAGCGTGGGCCTACTGCTTTACAAACGGCATACATGCTGCGTGGTCAGGCGAAATAATAGAGGTGTCAAGATGTGCAGAAGGGGGGGTGGGCTGGAGCTAGGGATCGGCCCCCTCTACCAGACTGCTGCAGGCAACAAAGAGGAGGCTGTCTGTACTGTAAATGTACAGCCTCGGAGACCCCGTATCGGGTCACTATGAGTTGGAATAGACAACGGCAGTGGGCTGACCCTCTGTCTCCTGTCTAGTCCAAACTTTGCCGCACACTGCTGTCACTGGGCAAGGAGCCCGCCAGGCATCCTGGGGTTCCAGGTGGCCAGCACTGGAAGCCCCATAGCTGGGGGCTCACCTTGTCTCCCTTGACGCCTGACAGCCAGCTGCTTCCCCAGTCCTGGTTCCTGCTTTCTGTCCACTTTTCTCAAATGTTCCCTTCTCCTCCCTCACTTCCATCCTCTTCCCAGAAGCCTCTCTGCCTTTCACTCCCCCTGCTGTGGGTGGTGAACCCAGAGCCAGCCCCTTGGGGCTTCACGGGTCCTGATCCTGGCAGGAGGCTTGGCGTCTGCCGGGCAGGCAGCAGGAGGCCTGGGCAGTCTAAGGGAGCAGGGGTGGGTATGGAGGGAGGAGGGCAGGGGAGAATGAGAAGGGTTTTCCTCTTGGCCAACACCCCCTCTCTGCCCCGTACCGCCCCAACAAAACAAAACAAGACTCATTGCCACTGACTCAATTCCAACTCACAGCAATCCTACAGGACAGGGAAACTGCCCCTGAGGGTTTCCGAGACTAACTTCAGGGGAGTAGAAAGCCTCGTCTTTCTCCCTCAAAGCAGCTAGGGGTTTCAAACTGCCGACCTCGCGGTTGGCAGCCCAACACATAACCCACGACACCACCAGGGACCTTCCTCTTGGCAGGGACCATGCTCTCAGGAGGCCCATGGGAAACGGCTCTCATGCCCGTGAATATCGTGAGGCCTGAGTTTGGGAAAATGATGTTGGCTCCCAAACGTGGAAACAGTGCAAACAGAACACCAGGAAATATTGACTTAAATGTCCCCGATGTGTAACATGACACCAGTTTGTGAGACGTCCCATTTCAAGACACGCCAGTGCACGTGGAAACAATTTGTGGGTCACGTTTCCTCGCTTGGACAGAAGCCCCGAGATCCCCAGGAAGGCCCGATGTTTGCGGAGCCCGCAGTGAATCACACGGCTTCCCAAATAGCTCCCAAAGCGAAGTTATACAATCTCGTCAAATACGTTTGCAGCCAAAAACAGCCCTGCCATATAAAGCTGGGCTTTTGAGGCATTTAGAAATGTTTATTGGGATGTGGAGTGGGGCACTCCCTCCACCCCCCCAACACTCTTATTGCAGGTCCAAAAATAGTTCCCCACTTGTTTCCCTTGACCCCGCCCCACACCCCAGGAGGAGCAGTGCGCAGTTCCAGGAGCCCCCTGAGCAGAATGTTCTGGTCTTTTAGACTAGCTAAGAGCCCCGTGGATGCCTCTTCCAAAGTACCGCCCTTCAACAAACCCACTCTTTCTGCTCCAACAAAAGCCAAAAGAAAGTTCTTTGCTTCCCCATCACTGTTTAATCTCAAGTGAGATTAAAGTGTGCCCCTTCCCCTGGAGGCAGAAACGTCTGCACCTTCCACTGGCCCCCAAGGAGCTCATCTTGGTCCAGTTTCTCTCCCCGCCTGCCGTGGAGGGCAGGCATGGCCCGCCATTCCCTTCTGCTGGTGCTGCCACAGCTCTTTCAGATCCATCTTCGCCTCTAATGCTAAAAGGAATTCAAATCAGAACATTTTCCATAGTTCCTCAAGGCATCCCAGCAAGGCCAGCTAGCTGCCCTGATGGGTGAGGGAGACAGGGGAGGGAGAGGGGGCAGATGCATATGCAGACATGGCAACATGGCAACTCGCTGCACTCCCAAACCTCATGTGCACCCACATGACCTCTCTGCTCCAGAGCTGTCACAGGAAAAACTCAAGGCTAAGGTGGCAGCGGGGGACAGCCCGGTAAAGGGCCAGGTCTCAGAGGGCTCATCTGAGTGCAGTGAACATTGTCACCTCTGGGCCAGTCATCGCCACGCTCGTCTTGATCCAGGGGCCTCCCTCTCCACCCCACACCCTGCCTTCTCAGGTAGGGATCCTCCTAGCACCGACGCCACTGGCTTTCCCAGCCTGCTTTGCAGCAAGCAGGGTACGATGTCCTGCTGAGGGGGAGTAAGCATGCCGCAGGAGGAGGGCTGGCAACCCCATGAGGCAACGAGCTGGGACTCCGGGTGGGTGCCCAGCCACCACGGTGGGAGTAGACCTGGCCTGGAGCAGAGCAGGTGGAGACTGAATATGCCTGGCTCAGGCTCAGAGGGCCGGTCTGGGGGCTCAGTTGGGGAGGGAGGGGTGGCCAGGGCTCGACTCGCTCATGAGTGGAGTCCTCTGAAGGGGAGATGTGCCTTTGGAGGAGGGGAGCCTCCTGGGCCTGCTGAGGCAAAGCAGCAGGAAGTCCTGAAGTGAACTACAAAGTCCCAGGGGCCTAGGCTGGGCCTCTGCAGGTTAAAGGGGCCGGCCTACCACTGGACCAGCCACAAGGCCTCCCTGCCCACCACGTGTCACGTTAGGTCTCAGGAGCAGCCTGTGGGAGGGCAGTGCACCCCCAGTCTTCCCCAAAGCTAGCCAAGCTTCATCCCACCTGCTAAGTGGCCTGAGGGGGGGGGGGGTTTGGGGGATGTTGAGGTAGAGGAAGCTAATCCCAGGAACTCAGGGCGGCTGGCAAACACCTGGAAGGAGAATCCTCAGGCCACTGATGAATCGGGTCCCCTCTGATCATAACTGACAGAAAGTCAGTGCTGGAGAAAGCGGGTGCTGCTGAGGGCGGCACAGGCTGGCCTGCCCTCCTGTGCTGGTGGCAGTTACACCTGAGCACCTGCTGTGGCAGGGACGTCGGCCAATCAGATGGCAGTCACACACACACACACACACACGCACACACACCCCTTCTGGCCCAGCAACTCCGCCTCTAGAAATTCATCCTTGGTGACACTTGACACACGTGCAAGCTGACGTGTGAGCCAAGCTGTTGGTGGCAGCGTGGTTGGTGAGAACACACATTGGCAACCAGCTGCCCTGTCCCTCACAAGGGGACTCGTCCAGAAGATTGAGGGCTCGGTGTATCCGGAGCTACGCACGGCGCTGCACGCTAAGATAAGAAAATGGTGACGCGTAAGCTACTATTTGTCTGAAAATGGGGGCGGGGTGGGGGGGTGGAAACGCTGTCGTGTTTATGCACCGATAGGCAGGCTCGCTCTGGAAGGATAGGCAAGGGGCTGGGGCCAGTCCAAGGTCCTCGGTGGCTGGGAGGGAAGAGAGACTTGTTTTCCATTGCGAGCCTCTCAGTCTCGTTTGTAAACCGTCCACGTCCACATTTACACTCTCAGTAACAATACGGGAGCGGGAGGTAAAATGTCGAGAAAAGAGAGAGATGTATGGTCCTGTGGATGGTGAGTGCTTCAAAATCTTTGGAATCTGCGAAGCGTGGAAAATAAACAAAAAGCCCACACCCACGGCCATTGTATCGACTCCCACTCCTGTCTACAAGACAGGACAGAGTCGAACTGCCCCTAGGCTTCCCGAGGAGGCTGTCAGCCATCAGAGGAGGGGATGGCGTCATTTTTAACCCGTGGAGCTTTTGGTGGGTTTAAAAGGCTGGCCTTTCCCGGACGGCTCAGCGCTTAGGCCTCTGTACGACCAGGGCTCCTCACAGAGGAAATGCACCAGAAACCACCGGAGGCTGCCCCAGCCCTCCCCACCCCACCCCACCCCCAGGATCTCAGGGCAGCTGTCTCTTTGCAGATGATAAAATAATACCCACTCCTGGAAGGTCATCCAGCGGCCCATGGGCGCCCAGCAAGGGTGTCACAGAGGCGGGTTGGCACCCAAATTGGCAGTCACGCTTGAGGGAGGCCATTCTGCCCCGGGGAGCAGTCTTCCCAGGGCTAGTCCCCAATCCCCGAACTGGAGCCGCTTAACCTGAGACAAAACCACGCCAAGTGAACAAGTCTAGACTCTCCAGTCCGGACACTGGATCTGGCCAAGGATGGTACCCCAGTAGGACCCACGGTCATGGGAGTGCCTGATCTCCAGCAGGGAACGTCCCACAGTGGTCCCCAGCACCTCATCAGGGCAATAGCATGCAGATTCCCCTGCGGAGGGTGGGGGTGGGGGGGGTAAATGAGTTGTCCCTAAAGCAAGAACTGTCCGCGAAGAGCATCCGCTGGTTAATTCCTTCCAGAAACATCTGCCCAGGGCTCCCGCGCGACCCACGCGCTGGTCAGGCTGCCGGGCACGTGAGCGTGTGCACCTCCTGCACTTG